GGATTAGAGAGTCAAGAACGGATAGTTAGAAAGAATGAATGATAAAGGAAGCGAATGGAATGGATAGATAGAAGTCAGAAATGTCATCAAATATAGATAAAAGACAAAAATAAAAGAAACATGATAAAAGTGTGTGCCAAAAAAAGGTAATAAAGAACAGAAGAATACAAAAAGGATGTGAAAGATTAATAAAAAAACACGAAGAAAGACGCTGAAGGATAAATAAGAAAGAGAGGAGAGGAGAGAAGGAGTAGAAGACCCATTGGGATATATACAATCTGTTAAGGTGTGTGTATGTGTGTTTATCTGTGTAATTAATAATAGTAATAATAATAATAATAATAATAATACTTAACACAATATTAACAAATTACGACAACCATAAGTAAGAAATATACAGGTGACATAAGTGATACATAAACGAGCATAAAATATATAATGACATGATGGAGTGGGCTATATAACACGGGAATTTCAACAGATGAGGTCATGGTGATGGAAAGATTTGAAAAGGTCAGTATACTTTCACACGACCTCTTTTGACCTCTTTCTAGGAATCCTCGATGCATGTGTTGGAGTTAAGGAGGAAGACTAGGCAGGGGAAGCATAGGTGAACAGAGGAAGTATATCTATGTTGTGTGTCAATTATTCAAGAGCTCAGATGTGGGAACTCTTGGGAGATTTGAGTCGACGGAGATTGTGGAGACGATAGCTGGAAGATATGATGGTTGTACTAAAGTGTGTTTTATGGTTCAGTTTGTTTATATAGTGACGCCGATGATATAAATTTCCTTATGTCAAGAACAATGATAAATTACTCATTAGAAAACTGTTTTTTAATAAGAGAATATATGGGAGACGTGACGAGAGATAGAGATAAAAGAGAGAGAGAGATTAATCTTTATATCCCCTTCTCCTACACTCTAACTCATCTACTCCCCCTTCTCCTCCCTACTCTCTCCCCTCCTCCCTACCCTCCCACCAACACTCCCTTCCCACCCATTTCCCCCACCCTCCCCCTACTCTCCCCTCCATCATAGTCTCCCCTCCCCTCCCCTCTCCCCTACCCCCCCTACCCCTACTCTCCCCTCCTTCCTACCCTCCACCCCCCCATCCCCCTACTCTCCCCCTCCTCCCCCTCAACACACACTTACAAAGAAATCTCACGCGGGCCACAAAAGTGAACCACAAGCGAGACAAATTCGACACACCTTACCAAAATTCGTCTTGGTTTTCGGTATCTCTTGGTAAAAATTTCTTCTCACGTTTACAGCAGAGAGGCGCTGAAATTTTAATTAGCAGCCAAGATATAATAATATTTGTATTCTTTTTTTTTCCAGGTGAGGGGTTTGTTTCCATATTCAACCATTCTCACATTCTTGTTTTTTTTTTAATTTTTGTTATTGTTTTTGTTAGTTTTCGGTGTTTTTATTAGTTTTTTTTAGTTTTTGTGTTTTTGTTAGTATTTGTTTTAGTTTTTTGTTCTGTTTTTCTTAGTTTTGGTGTTTTTGTTAGGTATTTATTCAATTTTTGTAAGTGTTTAAGTTTTTATTAGATTATTGTTCTGTTTTTGTTAATGAGTCTTGACATTATTCTGCCACACCGGGTTTATCATTTACACATTGAACATAAAACAATAATATAAGTTTTAGCGTTTAGGTTTAATTGCCGTAGGTAAAACCAGCTTATATAGAGGGTAGGTAGGTAGGTACGTGTGGGTAAACTATACTTAAGCTGATGTGGGTTAAACCAGCTTAGCTTTCGGGAGGATAATCTTGGTTTAAACTCCCTTAACTGCGGATAGTCTTGGTTTAAACTCCATTAACTGCAGATAGTCTTGGTTTAAACTCCCTTAACTGCAGATAGTCTTGGTTTAAACTCCCTTAAGTGTGGATTCTTATCTTACCTGGGTATCAAGCTCAATTAAACATCTCTACCTGGTTAAGAGAGACATACAGCCACACAACACAAAGACGCCTATAGTGACTCAACGAAGACTCTTATAGTGACTCAACACAGACTCCTACAGTATAGTGACTCGGTACAAAGACGCCTATAGTGACTCAACACCAATATAGTCGCATATGGTTTGTAATTTAAATGACTCACTGTGATTATTATCATTATCATTATCATTATCATTATCATTATTATTATTATTATTATTATTATTATTATTATTATTATTATTATTATTAGGGCAGTAATTTGATTTAAAAGGACCAATATTTCTTCTTCTTTCAGTATTAAGGATAAATTTAACATGTATAATATAGTTCTTTACGTATATATATAATAATAAAAGTACTTAGGTGTATAAACAAAAGCACTGAACAATAAAAGTACCGAAACAAGAGATAATATAAAATACAGTAAAATACAATAACTTTTACATATGCGGCAAACGATGAATCCCAGAATTTTGGCCAAAGAAAAATGGAGGAATGGAGGCCACATTTCGGCAGTGGAACCTCCTCCAAATTTTAATTAGTGGCTGCCCGGGTGAAAAATGGGCGGCTGGCTTGGGGCTGCAGACCACTCGCTAAGGCACGCCAACACCGACCTTCCGTACAGCTTTTTTTTACGTGCCCTTCATAAAGAATTTTTATTACTTTTATTAGTCTATTTTTTTGTATTCTATTGCTATTTTTTTTCTGTCGTGTGTTTTAGATATCTGTGGCTAATACCATTGTTTGGAAATAGTTATGTATATATATGATTTTTTGGTGTTTTTTTTTTTTCATTTTCTGTGAGATGAATTTTTCGTTGAGTTTGTACCAGGGAAGAACCGCGGCACCTCCAGCTATTCTCTAATTAAATTATCATTATTTTTATTGTTATTATTATTATTATTTTGCTTCGCATTATGGGGGAAATATTTTTTAAACCTATAACAACTTGAAAAAAAAATAGTTACAAAATTCTTCCCGACGAATAATTCCAAATGAGAAAAAAAATCAATATTGTTTCATAAAATTGCGTTCAGCTATTACCAGTGGTGTTTACATGTCAATATTTTGTATACTTTTCTTCAATATCATCGTTCATTCTGATTCACGTATTTTTTTCTTACGTAAAACCACAACAGGATAGAGAGATTTAGACAGAGGAGCAGAACTTATTTTTGAGCTAGAACTGAATTGTTATACTAAAACCGGGGATAAAGTTGAGGCTTAGGTTAACTTAGATTAGGTTTTGGGTTAGGTTAGGTTATGGTTAGAGTTTGGTTAGGGTTAGGTTAGGTTAAGGACGAATTAACAATGGATAGACTACTGTAAGTTATATTAGGTTTTCACTTGACTAGGTTGGGTCAAGTCAGTTTAAGGTTGGTTAGGAGTTGGTTAGATTACGTTAGGTTAGCATTTGAGTAGATTGGGTCAGGTCAATCTAGGTTAAAAATTCAGTTCATGTTCGAGTTGCAAGTTCGGGAAAGTAAGTGAGTCTCCCTGGTGAAGGTGTGTGTGTGTGTGTGTGTGTGTGTGTGTGTGTGTGAGTAGAGTAACGTCCTCAGTACCAATATCGGAAGTGAGTTACCGTGATCAGATCAGCTTGGAATAAGCAAACTCTGCACTCTGCTTCACTTGTACAGAGAGAGAGAGAGAGAGAGAGAGAGAGAGAGAGAGAGAGAGAGAGAGGGAGAGCAAGGTATAGATAGAACGAGGTAGAGAGATGAGGGAGAGGAAGGCAAATTGACAGGTAGATAAATAGAAAGAGGAGAGAGAGATAGATAGATAAAGAGATAGAAAGACAGAGAGAGAGAGAGAGAGAGAGAGAGAGAGAGAGAGAGAGAGAGAGAGAGAGAGAGAGAGAGAGTGAACCTGCTGTGCCGTGCTGCGTGAGACAGTCAATGTTTACTGCCTCAGTTTTCCGCTGCAACTGATAGACGAAAAATGATGAGGGACTTAATACAGTCGTAATGGAGGCCCTAAAAGCCTAGCCATCATTGTGCACCACGCTGGAGTTTTTTGTTAGTGTGAAGCATTACTGGCTCTCTCTCTCTCTCTCTTTGTCTATCTAGTTATCTCTCTCTCTCTCTCTCTCTCTCTCTCTCTCTGTCTATCTAGTTATCTCTGTTTAACTCTCTCTCTCTCTCTCTCTCTCTCTCTCGTCTCTTTTTATTGGGTTTAGAGAAAGATGTTTTTTTTTATGTCTTAAGTGTTTTTTGTTTTGTTTAATATTGGTTTTGTTTTAGATTTATTTAGGTTATTGGTTTATGTGGTGGTGGTGGTGGTGGTGGTAGTAGTGGTTGGTGGTGGTGAATAGTGGATGGTGGTTAGTGTCCAGTGGGTGTTTCTTATTTTCCTTCTTTCTCTTCCTCCTCCTTCCTACTTCTTTTCTCTTTTCCACCTCCTCTTTATCTCGTCCTACATCCTCACCATCCTTCTTTCTCCTCCTCCTCCTCCTCCTCCACCACCACCACCACCTCCTCCTCCTCCTCCTCCCTCCTCCTCCTCCTCCTCCTCCTCCTCCTCCTCCTCCTCCTCCTCCTCCACCACACCACACCACCTCCTCCTCCTCCTCCTGTTCTTGTTTGGTATTAATGGATTCTCGGGAAAGAGTCATTTTGATTATTATTACTATATTTTTTTCTAATTAGCTTATTTACCTTATCGCTGTCGTGTGGTGGCTGGCCAGTAGTGATGAGTCAGTCATTCTGCTCTACCTTGGTCCATTAAATCCAAGTGAGCTGTTGTTGATAGTTTGTTGTTGTTGTTGTTTTTTTTCAAGGTTGGGGTGGGTGGGTGGGTGGTAAGGAGGGGTTGGTATTGGTTCATTAATTGGTGAATTATTAGGTGTGTTTGTCTGTTGATTGGTTGATGGTGTTACGTATATTTTTTTTTCGTGTGTGTGTGTGTGTGTGTGTGTGTGTGTGTGGGTGTGTGTGTGTGTGTGTGTCTGTGTGTGTGTGTGTAATGTTCAATTATAATAGACAGTATATGTAGCTTTCGAGTACATGGTAGACAGTCATTAATGTATACCACTTTATTTCCCCCCTACAGTCGGGCAGCGATAAGGGCGATAGTATGAGCGGAACCTCAGGATTTCCCCCCAAGTCTCCGCCACCTATGGGCCAGTTCAACATGCCCGCCGAAATCTTCCAGGTAAGTTGTCAATCTGGCCTTTTCTTCCTTCACTTCTTTCCCCGGGGACTCTGTGACCTGATGTCCTGGTCCCCTGCACCTGTGTTCAAGCCCTGACACACATGAGCTTCAGGTCCTGACATCTGTGTTCCAGGTCCCCCCTGTGTTCATGTCAGGGAAGGCAAGCTGTCAAGAAAATCTCCTCACACAGACAAAAACATCTGTATTCCTCTATCCATTTGACTGCTGTATCTGTCGCTTGAGATCACTGTCAACTTTGGATCCAGGAAATTGTTACTTGCAGTCAACGGTATGAGGAGTCCAGGCAGGTTTGTAGGTTGGTTGAGGAGTCAGCTGCCCTTTCCTCTTAACATGACAAGTCTGGTGTGTCCGAGGAATGTTTTTCTACTCAGCTGACTCACATGAGGATCATTAACCTTTTGTCTGGCTTTCAATGCTTCTGGATAATTGGCTCTTATGAAATTAAAACTACTATTCATTGGTCTGTTTTATCTATATCCAATAGCGATTGGCTTAAGATCAACCAATCAGTGCCTTGAGCTTACGAACTGAGATCAACCAATGCTTGTAAAATATTTGGTTGAAGTCTTCCAAAATCCTCCGGTGACGTGATGAAAGTCTTCCCGCTGAGCCTGAACAACACTCCCTGACACCGGACTCTCATTCTTTCTCACTGTCTCTCCCACTGTTGTTTGTTATACTTATAATATATCCATGATAGCTATACTTGATGTTATAATGTAATATTAACGTTGTTCATGTCGATCTTTCTGAGACTCGAGAAATGTTATATCATGTTAGATAATTTTTTATATACCTTTGCACAAATGAAGCTCATAATATTTGCATTTGCCTTTTGACATTTTAGAAATTTGATATATTTTATGTACATGTTAAAAAAAACACACTATGTACGACGACTTACACACGCACATGTTAAATCCTGACTTAACTTGTGTTTAATGTTATATATAAATACGGTATATTACGTAAACACATTACGACTTAAAGAAGATTGACTTTATCATAAACACTCAATTTCTAAACACACACATACTTAAACATTTTCGAATAGACGAAACTAATGTTAAAAATATATATACTACGACTTTACGCAAATTATAAAAAAATTTCCACAAATTTTGAGTTTTACATTGATGTCGAATTTCTCACATCTTCAACGACTTGTACATCTTTTAGTTTAGAAAAATATACGTACACAGCTTGACGATTTACGCACACACACGCACGCATACAGCGACGACAAATGGTAGGTATACTGGACTTGTTATTATGCTGTGGTAGACTTCCCCTATATAATTTATAGCCGCTGTAAGCACAACACATAAATAGGTGTATTTCTCAACACGCTATTCCGGTATTTATGTTCACCCATTTATACACCACATATTGGTAAGTGTATTTTCTCAACTACATATGTGTGTGGCTAATATTCCACTCATACACACGACGTATATACGAATCTACTGAAGCGTGTGTTTTATGTGTATGCGAGTCTTCTCTCATACAACGGTTACAAAACGGTTATTAACGGTTACAAACGGTTACAAAGCTCCTGTTATTATATTAAAAGGAAAAATAGAAATTATTAGTATGGAGGATGATAGACGGGTACACTGTATAGATTAAAAACAAAACTGAACAACTCTGATGATCATTCGTGATTGAACATTGTTGTTACTAGCTACGAGAAAACACAAACATGTGAATTGTTAATGTCCCCATAAGAGTTGGGATTATGCTACAGTACACACATATATGTAGATAACAAACGCTACATAACAAGAATGATGTTGATAAGCCTACCGGTAATATTTTTTGTATTATTGTCAAAACTACGAAATTTGACATTTTTTACCGGTAGAAAATGGAGAAATATTTAGAGCATTTACGGTCTGGAAAATATATTCAGTAAACAGAAAAAAAACGTTGTTTACAAGATAATCAAGATACTCACGTGACGTAAAGAACTTTTTATTGGAAGTCCAGAGCGGTGTTTCACTGAGCTACCATCCACCAACTCAACGCTCGTGTGCACATCAGTTTGGCCAAATTTGGTGAAATACTGGTCTGAACAAGTCAAAACTATTGTGACACTGACACCGCAAAAGTTGACGATGGTCTTCAGTGCTGGGTGACACTTTTTTAACCTCGGCACGCCAGTTCCTATCGACAGCGTTTACCCCAGTTTTATCAGTCGATGCTACGTCTGAACTGGATTGAAACTGGGGAGCATTTGTTATTCCGAGCTTGTTATGACGTGCATGCATGTTTTATGCCACAATCTCTCTTTTCGCGTCTTTTCTGTTGCGTTCATGCATTATCCAAGCTTGGCATTTACGCTCAAGAGGGGATTAACTGCACCTTGTCCCTCGGAAAAAGAAAATTTTCCCTGTGTTTGGGTGACGTAAGGGTCATGTTTGTGTGGCCCGGAAGGGGAAGGTTTAGGCTGTTGTGGCATTACACGGCCGCTGTTATCTGAGTGGACGTTAGAAAAGAGTTGTTATAGAATGTAATGTCTCCTCATTGATCACTAACTTCCTCTAGCTTTCGATTGTCTCTTTAATTCTCGTTCATCTCTCCGTGTCTCACACTAGCCTTGTCTTTCGTTTTAGAGTCAGTAATAATGTGACTATATATACCAATAAAACAAATACATTAAAAAATAAACAAACAGGGCGTAGATCAACACAAAATAAAGATAAACAAACAAGCGATCAAAAGAAAAAGAAGAGTCGATGGGTGATGAAACGTTGAGACAAATTGACTAAACATAATGAAAAGTTTAGCAGAGAGAAACACACCATCACTTGGAAGGTCCCAACAAATTGGCTGGTCAACTTTACCACAAAAAAAAAGGTCAAAAATCTTGTCGTAGAGGGGTCAGAGGGTCATAGTTTTGACCGAGGGGAAGGTTGGGTTGTGGACGCCATGTCGAAGGTGATGTTCCTACAGCCTGGACTACCCAAAGGGAGATACAGGGGGGGAATGCGAGTGGAGATGGTAAAAGGGGATGGGTGTGAGATAGGGAAGGGTTGGTGAGGGAAGGAGAGAGAGAGAGAGAGAGAGAGAGAGAGAGAGAGAGAGAGAGTAAGGATAGAGAGAGGAAGAACGGGAGAATAGGTAGAGAGAAAGAGATAGAGACAGAAAGAGAGAACGGATAGGCTGAGAGAGAGAGAGAGAGAGATACGGGCCAATAGGGTTTAGAGAGGTGAAGGAGATAAGTGGGAGAGGGTAGAAAGAGAAGGAGAGACAAGGAGGAAAGGGTAAAGAAAGAAGGAAGAAAAAGAGGAGACAAAAGCTGAGAAGAAGGGGAGGAAAGACGTGTGTAGAGAGAGAGAGAGTCACGTGACACCTCCACTTTCTCTAACACCAATTGACACTTTAGTTTGTCATTATAGTTACGTCCATTAAACAACACGACCGTAAAACTACTACTTTTTTAAACTCCCAATAATTAAAGACTTCACTTAATAACAGCTAGTGACAATTTTTGGCTGCTTCTCGCTAGTCTGTTGCTATGGAAGTAGGGGAGGAGTTCAGTGGTTCGTCTAGACTTAGAGGGTCGTTATCCTCGACCTTAAACCATCAGTAGCTGCACTTGTCTCTACCTTCATCAATATTCCATCTCGATGACATTTTTTCTTCTATTTCATTGGTAATATTTATAAGGACTTAGTGTGTGGGTGGGTGGGTGGTTGAGTGGGTGGGTGGTTGAGTGGGTGTGTGGGTGGTTGAGTGGGTGTGTAGGTAGGTAGGTGTGCGTGGATGATTAGGAGGTTGAGTGAATAGATGGATGAGTAGGTAAGTTTGAGTGTAGGTTATAACACCTTTCACCACCTGTCCATCAATTACCTGTGTGACGTTGTATTCCTCCTACACTCAGGTAAGCCGTAATTACCTTCACCTTATGTCATGTTGATATCCTAGAATACGACTCAAGAAGAAAAGACCTTCTACTGGAGGCTTGTCAACAGGTTAATTAATACAGGTGAGCGTGTATGGGAGAGAGGAGGAGGGAGGCACGGCAAGAGAAAACACACGTATGGTGGCAGTGGTATAGAGAGAGAGGAGGCAGTGAGAGTAGCGCCCCCAACCATCCAAACAATTATTGACCCAAGTTTACCACAACTCTAAGGAGATTATGGAGGAGCTGAAGGTAAAGTTGTTTATGGACACAAAACAGTCAGTGTTGAGGAGATGTTTTGCTCGTAGATGATAAGCGGATTAGTCAGAAGTTTTTTTTTTTTTTCATCTCTGTTGGGGAACAATGGTGGCCAGGGCGGGACTCACTCCGTGTTGGTTCTGTGGTAGATCACAGGTTGTCCCTGTCACTCCTCTGCTTACTACCTGTACTGTACCTACCTACCTACCTGTCGGTCTGCCCACGCCACCGAAGCAGGTAGAATGAAAAAGATGGATGGAGAGAAAGAAAAAGAGTGTTATCTGTGTGTGTATGTGGGGGTGTGTCCGTGTGTGTGTGTGTGTGTGTGTGTGTGTGTGTGTGTGTGTGTGTGTAGGAGAGAGAGAAACACTGTTACTACCGTCTGTGTGTGTGTGTCTGTCTGTCTGTAATTAGCATACAGTAGAATTACTTGTAAACTTTCAGTAACTCTTCTCTTTGATATGCAAAAAAGGTGTTATTGTTGTAAGTCCACTTGCGGGCTCCACAATACATCCTGGGAGGAGTTACTCAGAGCGGCGGTGAACACGGCAGCAAAACCTCCGACAACATAACCAGAAGTTGTCAATATTGCCAACACAACTCTTTCATTGCCAACACAACTCTTTCATTGCCAACACAACTCGGCCATTGCCAGCACAACTTGGCCATTGCCAACACAACTCGGCCATTGCCAACACAACTCGGCCATTGCCAACACAACTCTCTCATTGCCAACACAACTCTGCCAATGTCTTCATAGAAAACTTTAATAAACTTTCTCACTAAAAGTTAACACAACAAAAAGATCGTACCA